CTTTTTCTTTAGATTGGACAATTGAGGAATCATTAATGAGATGGAACATCAGCTTATCCTCACTTAGTTGCTTCATTTTCAGTCTAAACGATTAGATCTTTGCTGATTCTGAGAGCCACCACCGGAAAAACTGAGTCCAGCAGACAAATTGCGCTAATTATTGCCTTGTCTTTGAAAACAGGTATTTGCATCATGTAAGGTTTTCTTACAAATAACGCGAGGAACACGACAATCTCGTTTTCAATGTCCGATTTTATGGCAAATTGGACAAGGATCCGGAGGTTTTCTATTCTCAGATGATGCATTTTCACGATTAAAATTTGTCTAAAAAAAAGTAAATTTTTAAAATTTGCCACTCGAGAAAATGGCAAAAGAGACTGATTATTGTTGCTATTTTGGTTGCTACTATTATTATTATATAGTCCGTAGAAAGGTGCTGTGGGTTTTTGCCGAAGTCAGTACTATTTCTTTCATTTTTAGGTGAATAATCCGAAGAAGTATTTTTTATCCGAAGAAGTAAGTTGCTTCTGAAAAAGTAGTGGATCCAGAGGACTGTTCAAGGTTAGCAACAGTAAAAGTCTTTTCTGGCGTTTTCAGACGTGCTAGCTGACGAGTTACTGAACTTTTTAAGAGAGAGACAAAAGAATATGCAACGCCAAGCAGCCGTTACAGGAGAGGGCCTTAACGTTAAAGTGCGTTTTTAACGTCCGCAAAATAGGACATATTTTGTTCACTAGAATTAATTTAAAATCACTTTTCTCAAGTGCAGCTTACTGTTGGGACAGAGTATCGATCAGAAGAACTTGACGGATAAGACTGAAACTTTTACCACAAATATTATAAACAAATAGCGGGTCTAGGTTTTGGTTGTCAAAAATATCGGTTAGTTCGTCTTATTTAACTAGAATTTAAAATATATCTCAGACGAAAAAAAAAGTGAGTTTTGTTAGTTTTCTGGACCGAAAGAATTTTTTAAAACCAAGAATAGACTCAATCTTAAGCTTATATTTGTAGGAGCAAAAGTCTCAGTCTTACCAAGGAGCCTGAATAGGTTCCCGACATTAAGAGGGTATAAAAAATTCTCACCGTAGATAGTGTGATTTTTAATTTATAAATTTTATGTCCGAAGTAGTGTAAGTTGCAAAAAAGTTTATTTTTGGGGGGCGTACCCTCCAGAAATGTACCTAAAGAGATATTAGTTGTCGTTTCTATGACCAAAGGAAAAAGTGGACAAAAAGAAATAAACAAAATTTTACCTATGAATCTATGTATGTCTCTAGTACAACACATTTATCTCTGACCAGACATACGATTTGATTGAGAAAATCTTGCTGTAGTAACAGTAAAGAAGTGCAGATAGAGGATTCTACAGAAATAAAGTTGGTTGCTCGAGTCATGTGAAAAACTGCTTCCATGTCAAAACAAAATTTGTAAACAGAACGAAAAATATACCTCGTTTAAATAAAAGTTTGCGACTCAAAACGAAAAAAACGTTATTTTTTCATACATCTTTCAAGAATACTCCCTACGTAAACCAGAAAGATCTCGAGACAAAGTCTGGACAATCCCTCCAGCCCTTGAATTAAATTATTATATTAAGATACTATTGTTTTGACAGTTCTAAATAAACCATCTGAAGACAGCGTCACATCTGTTCAAAATATGAACCTATGCTGTTTGTCTCTCTATTTAATCGCATTTATATAAAAACGAAGAAACTCTAGTGAATGTATTTGAGCCAAATACTTGCGCAAGTGCTTGGCATAGATGTAACCGATCAAAATTTTTATCGATCTGGTCGGTAGCTGGTCTAAAACGTTCGGGTCGGGCTGGATCGGCAGCCGCTCCATTTACGTCTTTTTCCTCAACCGGACCGGGACCGGCGTAGACCGGTTTAAACCGGTCTGCATCTGTGGTACTTGGCTTAAGTAATGAAGACTTTTCAAAGTAAATTTACTTGTCAAGCACTTGGCTAACCTAATCTAAGTAAATTTACTTGAAAAACTTCAGTCAAGTACTTGCTCCATTTATATTTCTGCAGTCATACTCTACTTTTGTAGAGTAGACATATGCATGACTACCAAGTTTGCTCAACTCATATCTAAATATCTAGATTTGCTTTGTAAGTTTATGTACAAGTTGTCAATGTAAAACGACAGAGTGATTAACAGAGTCCAAGTAATTGATTGGAACGAATCAATTGATGATGCTTAGTGAGCACTTAGACAAGAACTTGGGAAGTAAAAACACTTGCCCAGTTCACGTTCAAATGTTTAGTAGATGAGAAAACTGATCAAATACTTCCCAAGTACTCGGCAAGTAATCAACTGTTTGCATCAAGTGCATTCACTAGGGACGAGTGTTAAGAAATTTTGAATGTCGTTCGGCAGATGGGTGATAAAAGTAGATGTTCTTTATTCTAGTGATTGATGTATTGTGAACTTGTCAAATTCTTTGTTTGAATAAAAACACAACAAACTTTGGCACGCTCTCATTTCTTTGATTACAACTTTTGCTATTAAAAATTAAATTAAACAGACAAAATTAATGAATAGCCAAATGTATGCAATCAAAGGCAACACACCTGACGCTGAAGTGTCTTTGTCAGACAATTTGTCAACAAATAGTGTTTGATTAAAGATAAACAGATTTCTGTCATCACTGCTGATAGAACTTGTAGAAGCAAAAAATATATTTTTCAATTCTTGAGTTTTGGAATTACACAATATTTTGAGATTTGAGGATCACTTAAAAATCCTCATTTTTTTGGTATCTACTCTATTTTTGATATGTTCTATGTGAGATTTAATCAAGTTTTCGAAGCTGACGGTTGTTTCCTACAGATCGTCTTCTATGTACGTCACGTCACGCATTGACAAATAGAAAGACGAACAGAAAATTAAACAGATAACCACTTTCAAATAAATCGTACAACCGGAAAAACGGTTGGGACGCTCAGAGCTCTCAGACATTCCAAATTAAAGAGTGTGTTGCACATTTTGAGATGTTCCCACACTCTACACGATCTTTTGATGTACATCCACCATTTGCGATTTTGAACGTCACAAGAGTAAAAGTGATTTGTTTTCAAACAAGCAGATTTTCGATCTTAACGTATATTGAACAGTTGCTTTTTAATGATATTTTTTTACTTAAACATCAGACTAATTTGTTAGTCTAGTTAAATGAAAAAGAGAGAACTTTTATAAATTACTATCTTGTTGATTTACTGCGACATTTGTCAGATTAAGGTGATGGTCGTAGAATAAATATATATATGATTTACACTAAAAGAAAGTAACTGCCTTGTATATCGCAAGCGAAAACGTAGAATAAAAATCCTTCAGTAAGATTTTTCATGCGTTCTTCAATTCAGAGTTGTTCATTAAAGAATCAAACACTTAGTGATGAAAACAACTATTTTCATATTTTTCTATTATTTTGAGGGAACCATTCATATTCCGTCTCGTCTTTTCATAACAGAACAGTACGATTATGTTGAGTTTTTTTGTTCCTTTCGTTCTTTCCAGAGATTTTCTTTCTTCGTTCGAGCTTGTTTAGGACAATAAGAATGTACAACATAATAGATAATGAATAAATCTTTCTTCTAACATTAAAAACAGACATTTACGCGTGTGAACAATGGAGAACGAAAATAGTTAAAATCGACGTTAATATAGAGCTATTTTTTAAGATTATATAGATCTCTCTCTCTCATACAACAATGGAACATTGTAGTGGAGAAGTCGTAACAAATATTGACTGCGTTGCTTGTGATAAAAAAAATTACGCTGTTCAATTGATCGATGTCCAAAAATATTTTGGACAAACAGAAGTTTTAAAATCAATTTGTCTCAATGTTGAACAAGGAGGAATGTGAGTAAATTTTAGAGTAAAAGATTGTAGCCAGGGACGTATCTGTTATGGAACAGATACGTGGAACAGACTACAGTGCCGTTTTCGAATAACTTGGGAAAGGAAAGAAATAGTTAATCCAGGTTTTTCAAGATTCTAACGCATCATCCTATGAGGTACTCAGAGATGAGCAAGTCCTCTGTTTTTCAGTCCGAATCAAGTATCAGTCCACTAGGATCTCAGTCTCAGTCCATTCCCGGTCATCTCAACACCTAAACTTTCAGTCACAGTTCAGTCACAGTCCTATAAACATCAGTCCGAGCCAGAAATGTTTTCCCATGTGCTCCTTTGAATACATGTTCTGTCGTTTATCTTTTTACCGGAATGACACTGTTTCTTTAAATATCAAAGATTTCTCTACGCCAAAACCCAAAACTCGAAGAACTAATCTGAAAAATTAGTCACAGTCAAGTCTCAGTCCATCAGTCTCAGTCTAGTGACAGTCCGGACCCAGCAGAGGTGCAGAATCTTCCAAAAAATAAAAAATTTCCCCACCCACGAAAATTTTTTCCAGAAATTTCCCCAGGCTGTTGTATCGTCGTCGCTCATCAACCAACTATATTTCGCAAACAATAGAAATAAAAAACATGGCAACTTCTTGTTCTGTTCGTTATTATTTGTACAACATAGGAATTCTTTCTACTTGTTCTTTTCTTATGCGGTTCAAAACAAGATTTTCTCTTCTAACACTCTTTTTGCAAAATTTTCCCATTGTGACAATTTTAAAATTTCTTCCAATGTGGCAATTTTCAAAAAATTCTAAAATTTTTGAAAATTCTAAATTCTAAAAATTCTAAAAATTTTAAAATAGCCATACATGTGTTCTTTTGCCCGGATAGATAGTCCAAAGTGTTCTTTAAAATCCACTAGTGATGACCGGGTTCAAGTAGTAGATGTCCTTCTATCTGGACGAGTTGTATAAGCCGTGTTTCTACTTTAGAGATTATTGGACTAATTAAACATGAACAGGACCAAGGTTTTTCAGTTCTGACTCCAGTCCGGAAAAATTGTTTTTAGCTTGACCTTGTCCTTCTCATGTCTAGGGCTGATATGACAAATAAGTTGTTCACCTTTAATAATATAAAAGCTTTCACATGCAATATCTACCGAGATATCAAAGAGTTAAGTCGTTTAAACTTTGATTGTATGATTAGAGAAGAAAGAAAGAAAATAATACAAAACGACTATTTATTGATTTATAATGGTTTTTTATATCACGGATACGGAAAAACTTGAAACGACATTTCATTAGATCAGCCATTAGGATCGACATAGTCCACTAGAAATACGTTATTATCATTCTGAGTGAGTTTTAGAAATTGCCATTACATGTAGCGGAATGTAATGGACGTGCTGTAGAAAATGTTTGTTAGTGTACTGTAGTGAAGACTTTTCCCCGTTGTTCTTTTTACACTTCAAACTACAGCATCATCTAAAGCATCTAAAGTAGAGAGTAGATATTTTGAAGTTCTGAAGTAGTTTGAACCTTTTATGAGTGAATTTTTCTTTTGAGTTTGAGACAGATTACCCAAAATGCACAGTTCAGGAATGATAGTCATAGAAATTTTAAACATCAGAGTGTTACGCACGGATTTTGACGCACAAAGAAATGACAATTTCAGTAGGAAGATATAAATTCTCTCGAGATAAACTGAGAACAGTATTGATTTCTCATTTAAATGAGAAGTAAAAATAATCGTTATTTCAGAAAAATATGTTAATTTAAGAGAAATATTATGAGGTAGATTATTCGTTTGATCAGTTATATCTGTATGTGGATTTAGAAATAAATTTAATAAGCGTTTGTTGATATTTCTTCTTTTTTTGCGTCATACTACATGATGAATCAAATAGAAAAATCGACTGAATCGCGTAACTCTGCTATCGGAGTGTGAGTGCGTTACCATTTTACTCTTTTTGTTTATATCATAGTATTTAAAAGGAACATTGTAGAAATTTGAGAGATGTCTTGTTTTGTAGCTAAAAGTGTGCTTTTCAAAATTCACTCTGGGATCAACTAGATTCATTCAATCGTATTTGCGATACAATTAAAATGCATTAAGCTGAAAATTAAAATCCATTTTTTTCGGAGATGCTGGTATTTGGACTATGTAGCAAACACCATTGATTGAACCGATTTGGTCCGAGAGTGAATTTTGAAAAGCACACTTTTAATTATAAAACAACACATCTCTCAAATTTCTACAATGTTCGTTTCAAATATTGTAACATAAACAAAAAGAATGAAAACGGTAACGCACTCACACTTCAATAGCAGAGTTATGCGATTCAGCCGAAATTTACTTTTACACAGTTCGATTTTGAGAGCTTATTTTCGTGGATATATTGTATGTGTTAGAAGTAGATTACAGTGTAAATTTGGCCTTGCTAACCTATATAGTTGCAATAATTATACACACGCGGTGTTGATTTCTTAATCTGGCTCTAAAAAATATTATCGTGAAAGATACTCTATTGAAACTTCTTGTAATCAAGATCTTGATAATTCTTGAATCATCGTTTTGTGTCACACTCTTACTTACATTGAACTGCCAGATTTTTTATACTCAGAATAAAATTTGAAATTTTTCCTTTCTTGAGCAAAGTTACTTAAGGATGAGTCTACCACTACATATGATTGTATGTCTGTCTAATGGTTATGACTGTCATATAGGAAAGAAAATGTAAACATTTTCATCGTAATACTTTGAAAAATTTTGACTCGATTCACTCGAGGTCTTGAAATTTCTGTTCTTAAGACCTTGGCTAAGATCTTGAGCGCAAGTGTCATGAATTCAAGGTCTTGATTTCTTGATATTTTTATAAAGCTAAATATCGTATCAATGACTATTAATTCTCTTAGCCAGAGTGCATTTGTCAAAGATGTATATAGAAACAGTTTTATAGTCATCAGGTTAATGATTTCTTTGAAAAACAGTGCATAGACAATAGTCACAGTAGACAGATAGCGCATTTTTCTATGAAATTGGTTTTGGCTATAAGTCAGCAACGGTTTAGGTTAATAAACTCAAACTTTAACTGACATCAGTAAACTTTTATGCAGAATTTATGAGGAGAATCCAAAAATATCGAAGCTGAACTGTTTAAAAGTCATATATTTATACTCAATTTACAATGAAAAAATTTGTTTTCTTCTGGTGTTCTGTGTACACTAAAAAATAATGTGTCGCATGTGTCGCAAATTGCGACATAATCATCTGCACCACCGAGAGCCACTTGCGACACATTTCGCTGAGTATTTTTACTATAAAGAAAACAGTGGAAATTAGGTACTTTTGATCTCTATTCAATTTTAAGAATATTTTTAGTTCGTTTTGGGTGCACAACGTAATGTCGCCGAGCTCAATCCGCCCGTAATATTCACAGACCTTCAAAATATTTAGTTTCGCAGATCTGAGATTAATAGGGTAGTCAAGGCCTCGGATTGATTAGTTTTCGTCAGCGAAAAAATGTTAAAAAGACTTAGGCAGGGATCTTTAGCCACGAATAACATCAATGCAAAATTGAAAGAACTTAAAACGCCCGAAAATTTTCTTATCTTTTACGTATTAGCGCCATCTGTAGCTCATCAAAATTAAAGAGAAGCCGAGAAAAATCCTAATAAAGACTATTGAAAATAGTAAAACATAAAATTTAGCAAGTTTTTTAACAGAGGAGATCCACAAATGGTCTCAAGAACTGTGTCTAAACGTTCTTAGTTACGGCGACACAAATATGCGACACATTTTAGTGCAACACAAAATGCGACACAATATTTTTTACAGTGTACCAGAGTTACGCGGGATAGTCTCGTCTCAATCCGTCTCGACGGTTCGGGTCGAGACGGTACAGGATAGATTTCAGAAAATATTTGACGAGACGGGACGAAATGCTCACGAGACGAGACGTGTTAAGAGCTGTTTTTTCAAAACTGTATTCACTTGCGCCCTAGTGAATAATCATATGTTAAAGTTTTTTAGAGGAAATTCGTTCAATACAATGAGCGAGATAGAACGTTAAACAATGATAAAACCTTACGTTTTTGCTTACTGTTTTTTATTGGAATGACGCTAAGCCGTTGAAGTTTAAAATTAGTGATACTCCGTTGGAAACAAAATCATCAATATGAGATACATTCGGCTTCCCGATTGAAGCAGATGAAAATGGTGAATTTCATGTAAGATAGCTAGCTGCAAGAAGTATTATCACATACGTTTTGAAAGACAGTTCATCTAGTGGTTTGACTCATCACCAATGTCCACTTAGATGGTCAAACAAGGTTGAATTTTAAGAGAAAAATTGGTGACATCGATACTAGTCCATCCACACCGTCCAAATTCTCTTCTGTGCCATCTTTCCCACCATCGGCCAAAACATTCTTCTCATCTCCGTCTTCATTATACAATAAAATTAGCCTCCTTATACAGAAAAAAAGAAAGAAAGTGTCGCAAAGCTGTTAGCTGTGTGCTGTAGTATGGTGTCAGCAATAACTGCGAAGACGAGACGGGACGGGACACGTTTATAGAAAATTTTTGATGGGACTGGATGAAGTCCTTACGGGATATTACGAGACGGGACGTGAAAAAACATTGCCTCGTGCATCTCTGTTCTGTACATTGTGGTGACGTTATTTATAACTGCTTTGTGTGCATAAGACTATTTCGGTCACACTCTGGTACATAGGATTTCTGTGCGTAGCATTGTTCGTGTGCATCAATGCAGAATCCCAAATGCATTATTTCATTTAAAGTACATTTTTACTAGGTTTTTGAACTATAATTCTATGTAAATGAAAATAATTTCAAGAATCTCCTCAAACATATGTAAAATCTTTAGTAACAGTTAAAAACTGTTCACAATAGTTTGCTGAAGCGTTCGGTATTTTTCTACTTTATTTTTCACCTGTTTTTTCTTATGCAAACATATGAAACAAACGTTCCTCTACAAAATGAGACATTTTGTGTATTTTCATAGTTTAATTTAACACAGTCGGACATGTTTTCTTTCCGAGTCTTTCGAGAATATCTTACCAAATACTATTGCCTACCAAATACTACCTACGTAATTGAAGCCAAATTATTTTTCTATCTACTGAAATATTAGTAAATTGCATCTAATTAACTACAATTCTTAGTTTCGCTCTTCTCGGACCGAGCGGGTGCTCAAAAACAACGTTAATTCGTGTTGTTGTTGGACGACTACATCCCGAATCAGGTACTGTCGTTGTGTTAGGAAAATCACCACACTGCTATGGTCATGGTGTGCCCGGTAAACTTATTGGTTATATGCCACAAGAACTAGCATTATACCGGGAATGTACAATAGCTGAACAATTATTTTTCTATGGACGTTTAACCGAGATGGATCAACCAAAAATCAAACAACGTATTAAATTTTTAACACATTTATTAGACTTACCACATCGTGATCGAATGATAACGACACTATCAGGAGGACAACAACGACGAATTTCATTTGCTGTGGCACTTATACATGAACCAAAATTACTGATATTAGATGAACCAACTGTAGGTGTTGATCCAGTACTAAGAAAAAAGTAAGTTGATTTAAAATCCTAGCTTTATGTAAATGGTGTGATTCGAGTAAAGCCAAGAAGCCATGCTCTTTGTGATAGGAATGGACTGTTATATATGCATGCATACAATGGTAAAAATTATTTTCATAAAAAAATAAGCATTTTTTAACTTAACTTTTATATGAACTTATTCAAATATAAAAAGAGTGAAAAGATTGTAATAATAGTTAGAGTTAACCGGTCAGACAGAACATCGTACAAAGTCACAAATGCGAATGAAGATTCCGCTTCATCTTAGTGAAAAACGATAAGTTTTCCGCATTGTATATCGTCTGCTTGATGACTGAGATAATGTTGAAAGTGTCGATCGATTAACTGATTTTTTTGAAAAGCTTTTTGTTTAATGGTATCCTCCTCCTGTTTTTAGGCTAGAAATGCTGTGAAATAAAAACTGAAACTCACTAAGGCTTCATATTTTCAGAACTGATTCAGAACTCAATGGAGCACTTTTTCGTTTTTGTTTCAAGTTTTTAACTGTTGCCGTTCACCAGTTTTCTACAAAACTCATTTTTTCATTGTGTCATATTACGCCCCCTTTAAGGGTACCTCCCCCCCTTTTTTGCAGAAAAGTTGTCCTTTTCAGCTGAACATAGTCTAATGTAGAGGAAAGTCTGGACTATAAATGAGACCACTCCCAGCTCTCCATGATCTTCCTTGAAAAAATTATGAAGTTTTTAAGTTTTTCCTTCAAAGTCTAGAAAACCTCAACTTTTTTGGATCGTAAATTTTCTCTCCTTTTCCGTATATTCAAAATCTTTTCTTATATATAGCATGATAGAAGAAAGTGTACTCTTCAAAATGAGATGTTTTCCAAAATTTTCCGATGAGTTTTCTTAGAGATATAAGCATAGCCGCAAACGCCCTGAAAAATAGAGTCCTGTGTACAATATGTGTTTTTCTCACTATGCGTTTTTCAATAGTCCCTTCAATTGGCACACATTACGACCCCTCGAAAAAATGGTCCGATCGAGCTCAAAATTTTACTACAGATACTTCAGATCCTATTTCAGGGTCGCTTTTTTAAAGCGTTTTCGATTTCAACTTTCGGCGTGAGAAGGTGTTCAAAATGAAAAACCGGTTTTTTCAAACGGGATTTTCAGTATTTTCCGAATATCTCGAGAAAGAAGCATATTTTTCATTACGAATATCACCTTTTTAGTTCGATTTGTTTGAGTTTTGTGTGTGAAAAACGCAAAATACTGGAGGGAGGTCAAAAAACGCAAAAACTTTGAAATTTTCAAAAAACGCGTTTATTTTTCCGCTATCAATCTTTTCGAAT